TCCTCCTCCTCCTCCTCCTGCTCCTCCTCCTCCTCCTCCTCCTCCTCCTCCTCCTCCTCCTCCTCCTCTCACTTCGCCTCCCACTATCTTGTCACATCCTCTCTCTCCTCCTTTCCTCCTCATCGTCCAGTGGTCCTTCCCACCCCCCACCCCCACCCCCTCCTCATCCTCTTCCTCACGAGGTAGCAGGGCGAGGCCACTTACAACGGCAAGAAGTTCACAACGTCAAGCGGAGCTCTGACGTGCAAGTCCCTAAAGGACTGCAACATCGGATAGACCAAGAGAATGAATGTCTTTCTTTCGACAAGATTTTACTCCCTTCCTCTTCCTCTCCCGCATCCGCATCTTCATCCTCGTCCTCCCCCCCTGAGCTTCGTTATCACCGCGCGTACCTTCTACCTCTCCCTCTTGTCACCTCCTCCCTCTTCCTTCTCCTCCCTCTTCCTCCTCCCCTTTCTCCTCGCTCTCCCTCCCTCCATCACAGCTCTACTCCAACCACGTCCAGCTGCAAGATATCAGCTTCACAGCACAGCAGCCCTCCCACACTCGGCCGCGTCCTCCCGAGGTCCCCGTGTACGAACTCCTTGATGTAAGTCCCTGCCTCTGTCTCCAGGTCGAGGAGGAAGAACCGGTCATTCACCCTCTCCGCTGACATCCGGTACACCGTCCTCTTCCTCTCCGCTAGCGATCGCCGATGGAGCACGCGAATGGGCGTGTTCTGTCAGTAGCATCGTCAGCAGCAGCAGCAGGAAGAGGAGGAGGAGGAGTAGCACCACCACCACCACCACCAGCAGCAGCAGCAGCACGAACAGCAGGCAACGTCAGACAGGACGGGGCTGACCTGGAAGACGGCAAGCTCCTGCATCTGATTGAGCACGTCGAGCTTGCTAGGAGGCAGGGGAGCAGATGTCCACACCAGCGCCCTGTAGGTCTTTCTCTTGGTCTCCCCCGAGCTCTTGATGCTGTCGACATAGTCCCTGCCTACCGGCCTGAGGTTGCTGACCTGCTCAACCGAGAGTGAGGAGGACGAGGAGGACGAGGAGGACGAGGAGGACGAGGACGAGGACGAGGACAAGGACGAGAGGGCGCGATGAGCAGGAAGGGAGTAGAGATGCCAGGAGGAGACTGCTGCTGGTGGCAGGGCCATGGAAAGGTACGCAGGAGGAAAGAGGCAGGATGGTCACAGGACTGGGAGCAGGAGGAGGCAGGCAGTGGTGGAGGGAAGGGGGAAGTGCTCAGAGGAGGAGGAGAGGGAGGAGGGGGAGGAGGAGGAGGAGGAGCAGCAGCAGCAGCAGCAGCAGCAGCAAGGAGGAGATGAGAGTTGAGGAGAGGGTTTAGGGGGGGCGACGGACTTGAACGAGGTCGGTTGAGAGGTTTACGAGCTCCTGGATCTTCTCGAAATTGAAGTCGACGGGACGACCCTGCAGCTGGAAGTCAGAGGAAGGAAGACGGAGAAGGCGCAGGAGGAGGACAGAAGAGTAGGGAGTTGGTGCGAGGAGGAACAAGAAGGAGCAGGGAGGAGAAGCGAAGGGCAAAAAGTAGGGGAAGGAGCCAAACCTGAGGGGAGGGGTCAAGGGAGTGAGGAAAAATGGGGAGCCTCTTGCAATTGACGAACTCGATGAAGAAGGGCCTGGAGGACGAGGACGAGGACAGCAGGGGAGGTAGAGGAGAGGAGAGGAGAGTCAGCATCACGCAGTGGGGAGAAGAGGAAAAGGAGGAGGAGGGGAGGAAGGGAGGAGGGAGCATGACAAGATCTTGACTGAGGAGCATGGCTCTCCTACCTGCCCTCCCCCAGCATCCTCACGTCCACGTCCTCCCTGCCGGAGCCCATGAACTTGGTCTCCTCCGGCTGGTAGAGAGGAGCGATCTCCTTGAGGATCAGAGTCTGCACCTGCAGAGCATGCGAAGTTCAGTTTTCCTCTCTCCGAGGAGGAGGCTCATCGCACGGAATCTTGGAGCTCGCCGTGGGCCTCGTTCCAAGGGGACTGGCTCACCTAGAAGCTCTTGACATCAGAGATGGGGAAAAGAGAAGGAAAGGAGAGGTGGGAGCGAAGGATCAGATAAGACAGGACAGGACAGGACAGGACAGGACAGGACAGGACAGGACAGGATAGGACAGGACAGGAGATGATGGCGGATTTCAAAATGACACTACGGAAAGAAGACGTTCGAGAGGAGGAGGAGGAGGAGGAAGAGGAGGAGGAGGAGGAGGAGGTATCACCTTCCTGCTGTACTTGCAATAGCATCCTCCGATGTAGACCGACTCTCTCTCCACCTTCACCGTTAGCTCCGGCTCCTTGGAGATGGCAGCGGGCGGCCAGGAGAACTTGGAGAGCAGCGCGGCTGGGGTCATGCCGTGCAGCACGTTGTGCACCGCTATGATGTTCTCTATCTCGACCAGGTTCCCCTTCCTCTGGCCCCTCTCCCTCCTCTCCCGCATCGTCCGCTTCACGCTCTTCCCCTCCAGCAGGACTTCCTTCATGCCTGCCGACTCCTCATGCCTGTACTCCATCGTGACCTTCACCCGACCGGCGCAGCTGTCGGTGCTGGACTGGTCGATCGTCCAGCTCAGCACCTGCTGGATCCTCCTGCCATACGTCAGCCTGTAGACTTCCTTGAGCTCGATCCACTTCTGCTCGCAACTGACTCCCAGCGCACCCCCCGACCCCTCCAGAGCCTTGTAGTAATACAGGTACTGCCTGATGAAGATCGAGGAGGGGGCGGACAGGGACAGCATGAAGGTACAAGGACTGTCTACATCATATCCAGCTGTCGTCAACGCTTCTTTGACCTGTGATGAAATCTCACCCTGATCGCTCTGAAGCAGCCCCATGCACACACAGCAGTCGCCCTTCCTGCACGCCAGGGCTGAAGTCTCCGCCATGCAGCGGTCTCTCCCCTCCTCGTCAAGTGAGTCGGCAATGGAGGATGCTATCTCCTCTTGGCTCAGAGCATAGATTAGGGGGTCCCGCACTTTCACCATCCCCAGCATGCACCTTGCGCAGCACTTGACTGTCATAGACAGCATGCAGGAGAGGAGCTTCTTTGCGTCATCAGGCAGGGAGAGGATGGGCTTACCCTTCCCTCCTTCCTCCTTGCATGCCATCGCCTCGTCGGCTCCTCCTTCCCCTCCTCCCCTCCCTCCTCCCTCCTCCTCGAGATCCGCCCCCGCCGCCTCCTGCATGTGCGAGACCCCTGAAGCCCGAAACTTTTGAGGTTGAGAACTTTAGGCCAAACTTTCAGCGAAAGTTGCAGATACGCGCGACCTATGGCGGAGGTGAGTTTGTGAGCGCAGGACAAGGGAGTCCGCAGTAGAGGAGGAGGAGGAGGAGGAAGGGGAAGAAAGGGAGGAAGGGGAGGAGGAGGAAAAGGAGGAGGAGAGGGATAGAGCATGCGTTCTTCACGATCACGTCTCTATCGACATGGTTTCTGCGATCTCACTGCATTGCTCCAGGTGTGGCATCGGGTAGGGAATGTTCCCCCAGAGAACGGCAGGCTGCATGCAGAAGTAGAGGGGCGGAAGGTGAGCACGAGACTGGTATCTGTCGAGAATCTGCCTGACAAGTTCTTGTAGATCTCGGTGATATCACACAGAAGCAAGCTGTACTGCTTGGACAGCCTCTGCTTCCACGGTGCTCCCAATCTCCCATGCTCTCCATGTTGCTTGGACGGGCTGACGTGTGCTCCAAGGTGGAGGACCGCTGGGCATGGGACCCATAGAGGACATCGAAGGGATCTCTTGCCTCAACTGCCCATGGCACAACTACAAGGTTTGTTGTGACATCTCCCTGCGCTGAGCTGAGAGTTTGCCGTAGGTCACGATCGAGAAGGGGGAGAAGCTCTATCAGAGCACGGTGCCAAGTTCTCACTCCTCCTCGTCGCCATTCGCTCACGTCGCCCTGCAGACTCTCGACCCCGTCACCAAGAAACTGAATCCTGCGGGCTGGAAGAGCGTCGGGTGAGCAGAGCAGGCGGCGTTAGGTCAAGTCCTCACCTGCTGTGCAGCCAGCGGCAGCGGACGCACAGGGTGGAAGCGAGAGCTGATGGGGTATATGTGATGCTGGACCTCAAGGGAGCGATCGAGAGCGACAGGTGAGGCGCATCCCCTGGACCACTTCCCCTCCTCCGTTTCATTCCTCGCCTTCCTTCTCCTCGTGACCTTTCTCCCCTTCCTTTCCTCTCCCGCTTTTTCTTTTCCTCCTTCCTTTCTCCCCAGTCTTTCCTTCGGATAATCCTCTTCCCTCCTCTCCCCCCCCCTCTTCATCCTCGTCCCTTCCCTTCCCCTCCTTCTTACCTCTCCATCCTCTCCTCCGCTGAGAGAGCCTCTGTCAAAGGTACGCGTGCGGGTCGCAATCTGCCATGGGAGCGCTCATGGCTCCGGACTCTACCAGAACTTCCGTGGATCACGCCCTGGAGCATCAGGCAAGAGGGGGGAACGACCATCATCATCACTCGGGACTTCCTCGGACTACAGGTCCTAGAGGATACGCAGGGGCTCCGTCAGGGCAGATCTTTCAGCAGATGAAATGAGCTCATGGCTGTCAGGCATGGCAGCGACTGTACTCTTCCCACTCCCCTTTGTTTCCAGTAAAACTCTCATGTATCATCCAGAAAGCTGATTCCTGCGCCAAAGAAGCCTCCTGCGCCATGATAAAGCCCAACCTCGCTGGCTCGCTTCAGGAGCTCTTCCGTCGCTAAGGTTTCTGACTGTAGAGGGTCGTCAGCAAGCCTCCTCGTTGTGATTCGGAACGATCGTACCTGCGTCTTCATGTTGTTCGTCCATGGCCTCGGCCTGTTGGGGTCCCTGTAGTTGCGGATCGTCCGATTCGATGAAGCTCTCGTGCTCGACGTTGCTGCCAGCCGGCCGCTCTTGACTGAGTTCAACACAGGACTGTTCCCTGGCGGTGAGAAGGAAGGAAGGTAGTCGTGGAATCCCGTGGAGGTAGCAGGGCGTAGTCTATCCACGCTGACTGCAGTACTGTTGGTCCTCACAGTGTTTGCAGACCTTACTCGAGTGAATTCCTTTGTCATCTTCAGCAGTCTGTTGATACACATCAATCAGTGGGTTCGAGCAACCTCACGAGGGGGAGGGGCAAACACAAAACACACCTCAATTCCGAAGACAGTCGAACACCAATCTTGCTAGATGACGGATGTTTCAGAGTGAACTCTGCGCCTTTGCTTCTGAGTTTGATCTTCTCGTCAAGAGATTTGAGGAGGTTCTCGTCCCTGACGTTATATTCGTTGTATCCACCTTCATGATGGCTGTTCTTGCTGTAGTCTCTGAACCTCCACCCGTTTCTGCATTTCACTCTGGTGGAGTTCGGCGAAAACGTTTTCTCAAACGAATGCGCTGTTTGGTGTACAACCTTCTTGGTTCTGGGAGCAAGCGGAGTTTTCACGCTGTCCATATCGGGCGTGAGGCTGTACTGGAAAAATGAATCCCCAGTCCGCCATCCGCTTCGATTGGAGCATTCCAGACCCCTTCCTTGTGCAGCATGTTGCTCTGGATAGATTTCATTCTCCTTCTCGTCCTCTGTTTCAAACATCACTGCATTTCATGTACATCACATCAAAGCTTCACCTGTCACTATGGTAAGCGAGTTTGGAATCGAACTTCTTTGCTTCTCATCCAGGCCTTGGTCCGAGCTGACATGCCGTAAAAGATAACTACCCTTGCCATGCAGGTTCGAGTCCGTGTGGACGTTCTTGAACAATCTGCTGAACTCTTTGAAGTCAACCATTCCAGAATGATCATCGTCGACCTCAGCCACAAACTTGTCAATGTCGATGGTCAGTTCTGCCCTCTCTGCAAAGTTCCTCAACTTGTGTATACTGACCTGAAATTCAACATGTCAGAGCGTACGAGGAATCAAAGCTCGCTTGCGATACCGCGCCAGTCCCATCTGAAGCACCACCTAGAATTTCAAACGCATCTTTGACATCTCCCGAGTTCTCGTCCTCTTCCTCCGGCTTGAAAAACTCGTTCCAGCACATCATAGAAAACTCCTTGAAGTTGACCCTGAGGTTTGGGTGATCCAACTTTCCAATTTGACGTATCATCGTCAGAAGTTTCTCGTCTGTGATATCCTTCTGACCACCCAAGATCAATGCATTCTTCATTTCTTTCATGTTCAGCTCTCCTGAAAAAATATCTCGGACTTCATCATCGTTGGATTTTTGTTCCAAGTTGTCGTATCGTACAAAGCAGTTGCGCTGAAGGAAACAATCAAGTCAGATGCGATGAATGTGCGTGAGACTGTATCAAATACCGCCCATTCAATTGCTTCGGGTGAGAGTGCTCTATCGATCTTGAGCCTTTGCACAATGTTCAGTCGTTTCAAAGACAAACTGTAACACGAGATACCTGTTGTAAATTTGTGAGATGTCTACTATGTTCTTTCTTTTGGACTGGCTGCTTGACAAGTAGCCTTTCATCTCATCCTCGTGATGGCTCCCAGTGCGAGGTGTGAATTGCTCCTTAGGAAAAAACCCCTCGTCAAACATGCTTGAGCTCATCGCTCCTTTCCCCTTTGTGCCCGATCCGTGTTGCAGCCAGAGCAGGTTTCAGACGAGGAGCTGAGGGCTGCAGGATCGTTCAACAGATCTCTGGCTCATTCCCAAGAAAGTCTTCGCCTCATATCAACTCATTCCCGCAGTGTTGCCGTTCCTTCGCCATGGCCGCGGTCGCGCCAACTCCACCCCCAGGCCTCGTTGAGGAGAATATTACCCGTCAGGCAACCAAGATCCTATCCATCATTCCGGGTCTCAGTCCTTCGTCCCCGCTGCTTCCTAGCACCGATCGTTCATCCTCCCACTTCCTTCTCCTCGAGGTCAGCTTCAGAATCGCGGGGACGGCGCACGAGCGGGAGCCATGGCTGCACCGGCAAGCATCGTGTGTGTGTGCATGCTAATCAGGGCAATCTCTGACTGTCTCTCAGGGGTGGTAGGCCCAGCCGTTGAAACTTTGCGTCTCCACCCCTTCTTCTTCCCGAAATTGATAACAACCCGTGGTACTGGTCAACCCCATCCGCCCACCCCACCCCCTCCTCACCGGTAAACCCGGATCAAGAACTCTTTTGGGCTGAACCCCCACCTCTCTTCTCGGCACCACCGTGACCCCACCCTCGGACGCCAAACCCTGTTTAGAGTCACAGTGTTTGCAACCCCCTGGGGCAAATGATTTTCTAACTTACACTTCAATGAAATCGATGAGATATGTCGAGTTGCGCCCACTGCCCCACCCCCACTCCCCTATCCACCCTGCAGCTCTGATTAAGTACCCGGTACGAGGCTCGTGGGGCCGTTGGCCTCCTCCAGATATCTTTCAGTCAAAAAGATTACTCATCTTTTGGTTGCCCGACCAGCGGCCCGCCGGCGGCACTCAAACCCGAACACTGTGAAACCCAAGTCTTCAAGCCACCTCTACCCCAGCAACCGATCAAGGTTTTCTAACACACTGATTTCTCTACCTCTCGACACAGAAACGTCGGCTCACCTCGAACACAACCGAATCCTCTACAATAGACTGAAGAATCTGCCGTTGAAAATGCATCAGGCGCGACAAACCGCAGAATGGATCAAAACACATTTACATATACAATGATCGTGACTGTACGGCCTCGTACACAGAATTTTCTACATTAGAAGGCTTTTGAAAAGCAATTAGCCGCATGTTTTCATAACGAATGATGTAGAACAACTGGCAACTGGAGGAGGAGATCACACAGTTAGTGAACTTCTTGCCTGTCCTCCCGCCAAGCCCGTCCCTTCGTTACACCATGCACGGCCGCATGTAGGCGTAGGGGATCGCACTGCTTGCCGAGCAGTGCGCTACTGTACTGTTCTGTACTGTATTATGAATACATGGACAAAACATCATGTCGTTATGTCTTGTTCTTGTCTTATTGGGCTCCGGGCAACCGGATATGGCCCGGCCAGTTAGTTCACTAACGGCAGTGTGTCAGCACTGTGACAACTTCCGGCTCGGACTCCCGGAAGGCAGTCACGTGAGTGGTGACATGAAGCCTGAGTCAAGCACGTGGCCCAGTGGGATGGCATCGGATACCGGGATGTCCTGGCCCAGTGGGGTACCGGTTGACTCAGTGCGGCCTTGACCTGATTTCGGAAGTTCTACAGCTGGAATTCCGACATGCATTGCTGCCAGGCTCAGTAAAGTTCCGTGACCGTACCGTACGGTCGCCAGGCGGCGTGAAAGTTTTATTGCCATGCGGCGGCCCGGGGTAAACGGGCATTTTAAGTAGATCCGCAGTGACCAGTCGGAGCATCCTCATCTCCAAGTTTCCTGGCATTATCTGTCTTCAAGTCGTCGCTCAGTCAACAATATCCTCCCATAGCAACTGCATGTGACAGTGTTGGTCTATCGAATCCAAGGGCCACGGTAGATAGGCCTCAGTCCTCTTTGCAGTCCTCATCGCTTTCCTCCTCTGAAACGTCGTCGTCGAAGTAGTCGTCGTCGTAGTCGTCGTCGTCGTCGTCGTCGTCGTCGTCGTCGTCGTAGTAGTAGTAGTCGTCGTCGTCGTAGTCGTCGTGGTCGTCGTGGTCGTGGTCGTGGTCGTGGTCGTGGTCGTGGTCGTGGTCGTGGTCGTCGTGTCGTCGTCGTCGTCGTGGAAGTCGTCGTCGTAGTCGTCGTCGTCATCGTCGTCGTCATCGTCATCGTCGTCATCGTCGTGGTCGTCGTGGTCGTGGTCGTCATCGTCGTCGTAGTCGTCGTAGTCGTCGTCGTCGTAGTCGTCGTCGTCGTCGTCGTCGTCGTCATCGTGTATGTCTGAGCTGATGGCACCCCAAAGCTCCTCTGCTTCGCCAGTTTTGAGTTTTGCCTTCTCCAGAGTTTGAATGAAGTCTCGGTAACCACGACCTGATAACCTTTGTAATGTATTCAGCCTCCTGAACCCTGCCTTGGCGAGGGGCTCTGCCAGTTCCTCCACGTTGCGCTCTTTCAGAAAAGCCATGAGATCTTCCTTAACGGACCGATCATGCTGTTTAGCATGACTTGAAGCTTGGCCTTGTTGTGGTTGGCCTGACTTCCTTCCTGGAGCATCCACTGACGATGAGGCAACCGCAAGAATCTTGAGACAAACATGTTTTTGTGTTGCCTTGTCAAGCTTACTGTCTGCAACTTGATCGATGCCCGAACAAATTGAATCTTTGATCGCGCTTGTTTTCAAATACTCAACGGCTTTGAACTTATTTACGCCGGACTTCTGTAGGATTTCCATTACTTTCGTTGAGTCCGAGAGGTCGACAACAAATTTCAACTGACTGACAATGTCGACCAAAGCATTTCCAATTCCAAATGAGACAGCTCCGACAACGAGCTTTACGAAGGATCCAATTCTCTCGACCGTTTGCTTCCGCCTGTATGCCATTTTGAACTCCACCAGACTTCGGTTGATTGCCTTGATTGCAGTTTCGTGACGGTCCAAGCGAAAGTCAAGATTTTTGATTGCAGCTGTGTTTGCCTCGATCTGGGCTTTCAGGGTTTGAAAGAAATCAGTTTGCTCAAAACTTCTTACAATGAATTGCTTTTTAAGTATGATATAGTCTTTTCCCCCAACAGCAAAAGCGCCAAGCTCTTTGGCCTTCTTTAGGGCCATCTGACAGAAAGCATAATCATCTTCGTTTTTTATAATCTGGTTGGCAGATGCTGCCTTGAGACCCTCCCTCAAAAATGTGTTTCGCTGATTTTCCTTCAATCCGCAATCTGGGAGTTTGCATGCTGCACATGCAATTGTGAAAAACAATTGGAGCTCGAAAATAGTACTGATAAGTGGCACAAGTTCTTTCAAAAGTTTTTCAATAGGATCTTCCTGATCATTGTGCTTGGACAAAACATCCAGGAACTTGCTGTGGTGTTCAGTTTTGGCGGCTTTTGGTACGTTGGATTCAGGGTACGGAGTAGGTTCTGAAAACTTTTGAAGTCGTTCGACACGAGACTTCACCTCGCATTCTTGCTTTTGCAATTCCGAGAGAAATGTCTTAGCAGTGAAAGGGCACATCGGGCCAAACCTCTTTTCGAAAACTCCCTTGGGGGTGAAGTGTTTCTCCAACGTGAAGCTGCAGTTCTTGCAACCCTTATTTTTCGTTTTTATGAAGAACATCACATCAGCGTCTTCGATTTTCTTTAGGTCGGGGGCAACCTTGTACAAACAAGAAATGAGAACTGTGCCCCTTGTTTGCTCGTTGTAAGTTGCTCCCACAAGATTTGAAATCCTGGTTATCTCCTTCGAGACAAATTCACATTCCTTTTGTTCGTGAATATGCGACTCGTTTGCATTGAGCAACCTCTTTCGAATGTTCTCCTTTCGACTACTGAAGAGAAGCATGGAGGGGAGATGTTGCGGTGAGGTTCCTAGCAACTTTTCCCCAAAAATTGAGCAGTGCTGCCGATTGTTGGACGCTCAAAAGGAGAGTTTTCATTGTTACGCCACGTATGTTATGGTAAGGTGGGTATTATTCTGTAAGACACAGTGACCTCTCACAGCGCCGAGCCTCTGTCAGCCGCCGCGGCGCAGCTGTCGGTCAGCGAGCCTCTACGGCCCTGCTGAGAGTGCCGTAATAAGTCCTGCCCGACCGTTCTTGCCTGCCACCTCTTGGCCTCCACTTGGCCTCTAACCTTGATCTTTACTCAAAGTTAAGTTAAAAATCAGTACGTTGATCTACTACCGGGTCCACAGGTCAAGGGTCCAATCGGTTCAAACCGTAACGGTTCAACGGTTTGCAGGTCAGACAGCATGGAAGCTTCACGGTTGCCGCGAGTCGAGATGGCGAGGAGGATGAAGGCACTGAGTGAGCACCTGAGGCAGGAGGACCACTTGCTGCAGCTGCTTGCGATGAGGTGCTGCTCGCCTGCGATGACGTTGCCTTCAAGATCGAGCTCTGCTTCCGCCCTGTGCTGGAGAGGCGCCGGGTGGAGAAGGTTGCGGACAAGTTCAAGGACTACGTGAGCGAGAACGAGCTCAAGACGAAGCTCGACTACGTGTCAGAACACAGGAACATGCTCCTGAAGAAGCTGAAGGAGATGGGAGTGAAGGAGACCGACCTGCCTGCTGTCGAGCTGGATTCGGACAAGCACTTCCATGAGATTTCGCCGCTCAGGCCAGATGGCCGGATGAACTCTCTTTCTTTGTCTTCGTTCGACATGGGGCAGGAGCAGTAGCGAAGGGAGCACTTATTATGTATTCATTCATTCATCACAGATATTATGGCAAAGGAAGACATAGAGGCATCAGTGCTTTTCGGAAGAGAGGGGATGAGAGTAAGGAAAGAGCGTGTGATCAATCGGCGGTATCGCCCTTGGGAGGAAGGGAATCCACTGTCCTGACCTGTCAACCTTCACCTCGACCGAAGGCCCGTCGTCCGGATTTGCAGCGCCAGCAAGCCTAGGATGAGAGCATGAGGACAGGGGTGATGAGACGTCAGATGGCAGGCAGACCTTCTCGCCTTGTCATCGTTCTCGAAGAGGGACTCGTCGAACCCTGCGACGACGGAGACCCACTTGTCGAAGTACTTCCTCACAGTGCAGTGCAAGGATTTCCGGGCGACCCTGTGTGCAGGCTGCGTTGGGCGCGTCAGGCAACGCGAGCATGCACAAAGGAGAAAGCACCAGGCGCAAGCCCCGCAGCTCTTCGCCGTGACGGAGATCGTCGAGCGGAACTGAGACGTTCGCCAACTTGGCAAGGACCACATCGGATAGGCGTGCTGCTGGCTTGGACTTTGATTTCCCTGACAAGTAGTTTCACCGTTGCTCCCTGGCGCGATAATAAACGTAATCACTCGCCTTTCATCGCAGGAGGCCCTGACACGACTTGTTCGTATTCTCCTTTTTCAACCGGCTCGATCTGTTTGTCTCCCTCCAGCTCCGAGACAACCCTACCGAACGAGTTAGGATGGGGCCTGAGGGAGGAAAGGGTCACCTCGGAGTCTTGATCTTGTAGGCAGGGAGAATAGGAAGAGTGTACTTGGTCTGCGCGAGCTCAACCGGGTCATTGGTGAAGAGTATTTCCTGCGAAGGGGAGAAGGAGCTCCGTCAGATGGTGGGGAGGCGATCAGGTCCGATCGCGACCTCGTTGTAGCCGATGGCCTTCTTGAGCTCTCGTTCAGTGCGGTGAATCGCGTTTGACCTGTGGACTTGATCAGCAACCGGGCTGGGGGCAAGCATTGGGTCGGGCTGGGGACAAGCAGGGTTTTACCGGTAGGAGAAGTCGTACAGGTTCGTCGTCCGCAGTTTCAGACTCTCCATGTGCTGCTCCATAATCTGTCACGACGAGTCACTTCAGAGCATCCGGGGACGAGCCGACCGACCTGCTTCTCCCGCTCGACGTAGGGCAGGTACCCCAATCTCTCGATCAGGAACTCGATGAACTCTTGGTAGGCAGGGAAGTCCAGCTCGTCCTCCGGCCCTTCGGAGGACTTGGGCCTGGCAGGCCACGTCACCTCCTCTCGCGCACACCTCGATGCCGAGCTACCTGTGGCTGCCCTTGGTCGAAGGCCTCCCCCCTGCCGAGGCTGGCTGCCCCGTGCTCGCGCTCTGCCACTGTCTCAGCCAGAGTACCCCGAGGGCGAGCAGCAGGAGCTCTCACCGGCGATCTCATCTTCTTCCGCAGGAAGGCCAGGAAGTAATCTGCAGAGACTAGTCATGCTGCCTGCAGCAAGCTTACAGCCGCCGTCACCGTAACAGTCCTCCTTGGGCAATGCCTTTGGAATCACTTTGACCTCCTGGGTCGGAGCATGGCAGTCAGCTGAAGGAGAGAGCAGCCGCACAACCGTCCCACCTCCAGGATGCACACGAGCTCATTGTAGTCCAGCAGAGCCCCCCTGCCACCTAGCTGTATGCCCTTGCCGCTCGCCGCGTACTCGTAGAACAACTCAACGTTGCTCGCGGTTCGTCGCAGGCACTTGGCTACTGCTGTCGCCATGGAGAGCTCGTTCAAGTCCAGGCTCTGAATGTCTTTCGACCTCCACTCTTCTCGCTTCCCCTTCTTCCTCCTCCCCAGCTTCTTCACCATCCCCTCTCTCTATATCCGCATTCCAATTTCTCCCCGTTGTCACCCCAGGACTTGGTCTCAGGTCATTTTTTGATGGACCGTTGTCAGTCCGCAAGCCGCTCCAGCGAGCAGCTAGTCTAGCGGGCAGGAAGAATGAAAAGCGAGCAAGAGCGGAAGCAGGGAAGAGGGAGGGAGGGATGACAGGACCGTGAAGGGGCGAGAAAGGCAGGACACTGTGAGAACCGGGAAAGCGGGTAGAAGTTGGAGGCTGGTTGAAAGAAAGGAGGACGGCAATGCTGAAACAACTCCTGGGTCGTCGATGGTCTCTGACAAGGAGCGTAGAGGTCGATGATGCAGATGAGAAGGAGTCGCAAGCATCAGCCATGCGGGAGGAAGACGCAAGGTTGGCAGCAGAGATCTACTCTCAGCCGGAGGGCACGGGGGAACACACATTTGGGTCCAAACCCTCGACGAGCTCGGCAAGTAGGAGCAGGACTTACGATGAGGGCGGAGTGGACCGGTTGAGCAACAAGGTGAAGCTAAGGCTCGAGCATAGCGTGTTTCGTTTCTGGGCTTTCTATGCCAAAGGGGTTGCGAGCATGAAAGGCTTGAAGCGAAGGTGTGACAAGACTCTGGTGTACCCCTTCTTCTGGCAGTGGACCCTGTACGCGGCGAGGAGTGCTTACACGAAGAAAAACGATCACTCGAGGGCCCTCAAGGTCCTGCAGATTGCCTACAACAAGTGGGCTAGGTTCCACTACAGGATCCGAGCGATCAGGCTCGCGATGCTGCAGCGGGAGGTCCACGAGAAGAAGTTCCTAGCATCGCACATGTTCAGCTGGACAAGGATCCTGCAGAGGAGGAAGGCGCAGCTGCGAGCGAGGAGGCGATGGATGGCGTTCGAGCTCCGGCAGGCGTTCTTCACCCTCTTCGAGCAGGTCCTGAGGATCAAGACTCTCGCAAAGACCTCCGAGTGGATCCGCAACAAGTACATCCTCTTCACCCTGGACCGGGCGCTCAGGGCATGGAGGTACAACAGGCTGCTGGACAAGAAGAGCTTCACCCTCGTGCAGTCGACCATCGAGCGGTGGATCAACTACACAATGGCCGCCCATTTCTTCGTCTGGAAGGACAACGTCTTCCATGTCTCCTCGGCCCCCGTCAAGCTTGTTGACGACCCTCCCCTTCTCCCGCCCATCATACACAAGTACGGGAAGGTAAGCGGGCCCTGAACTTGCGGTAGGGGAGGAGATGATGGAGGGTTGTGCTAGGATCTCACGTTCACAACGATGCCGAGCCTACCGCTCCATGACAAGTTGCTTCCTGTCAAAGAACGGCCAGCCGCAGTCTCCCCCGTCAAAGAGATCCAGTCGTACTTGGGCAAGCTGCGCTCGCTGAACTGTCAGACTAACAGGCTCCCGAGCATACAGTGAGACTACCCTGCTGCTCCTCTTTGCTCCTCTGAGGTTCCGTTTGGTTTCCCACAGGAAATTCGGCAGTGCGAAGCATCGATACGACTTCTTGGTTCAAAGGCAGATTGATGCTCATCGCTGATGGAGAATCTCATGTGTAAAATAACAATCAAGTTTATGTGTCAAGGCAGACCTGCAGTCCTCTGCTCTGATCTGTAACTCAAGGAACATGGAGCTTACTTTTCCTTGACTCAAGCCTGAGTTTCCCTTGAGACTATACGACAACCACTTGCTGCAAAAGCCAGCAATTCCTCCCACTGCCCTCTCATCTCGTCTACCTCCTTCCTGATCCTTCTCCGCTCTCTGCTCTGCTCTGCTCTGCTCTGCTCTGCTCTGCTCTGCTCTGCTCTGCTCTGCTCTGCTCTGCTCTGTTCTGTTCTGCACTGCTCCCTGCCAGGGGAAATATCGGGGGAAAAGTCAAAGTAGATATTTCCACCGGGGTGGGGGTACTTACCCCCAGGGGTAACACATCTAGTACCGGTACAAATAATGAATTTGGAACTGGAATACGGGGGTAGTAAGTTGATTCAAGTGGGGTTAGGGTAGGGGTGAGAAAACGCAGATGTCACCCACGAGCGGGGTGGGGTAATCGAAATCTCTCGCCATGGTGCAGCGGCAGCGGCTGCTGCAGGGGACGACCAATCGAAGCCCCTCATCTCCCGTCTCTCCTCCTTCTCTCCTCTCTCCTGGACCTGCTGCTGCCTCTCTCTCCTCCTCTCCTCCGCCCTTCGTGTCCCAGAAGCACCTCCGGCTCCCTCTCTCAGGTAGAAAGATGTCAAACGGGCCCATCTCGCCAATGTCGCCCGTTGGTCGAGAGGAGCACGTGGACCAGCAGCACTTGGCTGAGAGTAGGAGCAGTTGGCAGAGTGGGATGACAACGAAAATTCCTACTCCTCGTGAGATTGGTTGGGGCAAATACAAGGACACGAAGTTAGATGCTACTGCGCAAAGGATACAGAGCTTTGATTCGAGTAGGTTTTCAAGGGATAGCTTGCATGGATCACAGTCAAAGAACGACATTCTTCAGATGACCAAGCGGGTTAGGACTCTTGAGGTTCAGAATCTCTTCATGCCCAACGACGAGAACGCACCCCAAAGCAATCGGTCAGAATTGTCAAGCAGATTTCACAGGAAAACCATCATGCCAAACCCCGACAATGCAGGGAGTAAGTTCTCTGTGGAGGGGTGGGGGCCAGCATCCAAGGTTGAGTTCGAGGACTATCCCGTCAGTCTATTCTCACCCGACGTTTCATCGCTGCTAACGAGGTATTCCCCTGCTCTGGCATGACATGGCCTTGACCCCCGTGGTGTGTGGCAGTCGGATCATCCCCGATAAGTCCGCGGCAAGTCCGGTGAGCGGAGCATCGCAGAGGTCGCTCGAGCTCGAAGTGCACGGCGAGAGGCTCATGAAGGAGAGCGAGCACCACGCGCAGAAGATTGAGGCGATGAAGGGCATGAAGACCCTGAGCTCTCGTCAAGTCGCCAACCTGCACTACCACTTGTACAAGCGGGGAAGCATGGCAGATGCCATCAAAGACCTCAAGAAAGGGTCGAGCCTCTCGAGCAAGGTGCGGGTCGAGTCAGGGGCAGGAGAGAGCAGTTGCTGACGAGGCGTCAGCAGGATACCTCCCCGAGTAACTACAGGAGGAGCTTCTCTCCTGTCGACTTCTCCTTCCTCGTGACCACCAAGGTCGGACGACTGGAAGGCCCGTCACAGTCGCTCGGTGACGTTGCGGACATGCTCGCAGCTCTCGCGCTCCACTGACTGATGTCGCGCAGGGATCACGCATGCTGCTGGGCTTCCGTCGCCACTGCGGTACAACCAGCAGGCAGAGCTGGACGGCGTTGCCAACAGCACAGCATCATCGAAGGGCTTTCAGAACGCGTATCCCTTTCACAGCTCGAAGCATGTAGAGGTGACTTTGATCGCACGCTGACATCAAGTCTATGACATTCATGCACAGTCAAGCTTGAAGGAGATCCCTGTACCCAAGTTCGCCCAGGCCGTGAAGAGCTCTAACGCTTCCTCCTCTGTGTTCCGACCATCGTTTGACAAGGGAGTGGAGTTGGACGGGCAGATCGCGCCGGGCAAGAGGCCAAGAGACTTGACCATCAATCATCGCTGAACAAGTTGAAGTTGGATGTTCTATTTTTCTATTTATTGTTTCTGTTTCAAACGAATGAGAGTCTTTCGAACTTCACAACACTACTGACTAAAATCCCCCCCGCAAGCGGTCCCAGCCGGGCTCACCGTACTGCCACATTGAAGGCCGGCCGAGTCACAAGAGTCAAGGGTAGGTCACGGGACGATCAAGGCAGTTCCATCTTACCCTCATCCCCGCTCCTGACCCAAGTCCGGATCCTTGCCAGATCCTTGCATCTAAGACCATGCTGCTTGCCGCCGTGTGCCTGATGGCGACGATGATGGCGCAAGAGGCCGCGGGCTTCCAGCTCTCTCCTGCCCTCCATGCTAGAAACGCTCATAGAGGGTTGATGCTCGCTGGCTCAACTCCTAGATGCAGCAGAAGCATGTCCCGCACCGTAATGTGTGTAAGTGACGACACGTCGGTCTCGCGCAGGAGACTCCTTGCGTCGTCGGCCATGCTGGCCGGTTGTTCGTTGCTTGCTCCCATGGCGGATGCAGCGGACAAAGTCCAGTCAGAGGAGGACAGGAAAGTGAAGGCCACATCCCCTGGTATTGCTCTCGACATGATTATCACGTAATATCGCTCTAGGGGATCGTTGTCGGGCCTCTGGGTGATTGTTTCTTTCCTGGCAGAATGAAGGTGGCAAAGAACTACCGTGAGCTGCTGCCCAAGATTCAAAGCGAGGACTACAAATCCGCTACCTCCTTCCTGAGCAACCCTTGGACAAACGGTTCTGCCAGGTTCTTGAAGAAGAACAAGGTACATGGAGAGTCCGGCATTCTTTCAGCGCGGTCTCACCTCTCCGCAGGTGTTGGAGTCTCTGGCAACAAGCCTGAAGGGAGTGAGTGCAGGAGATGATCTGGACTCTGATCCCTCCTTCAACAACGAGTCATCGCCCGATTCCCTTGCGGTGAGAACATGGGCATGCGGTGTCAAACTGACTTCTGTCTCGCGACAGATTTCGAGCAGGGTGACTACTTTGTACGAGATCTTCGACAAGCTGGAGGCTGCATGCAAGGAGCAGAATCGTGAAGAAGCGGTAAGAACGCAGAGTCTGTGTATGCAGCTCGAAAGACAAGCTGTACAACCTTTCCTCCCTTTGATTTATCACCAACAGATCAAGCAGTACAACTCTGGGAAGCTCAAGTTCGACGAGATTCTCAAGCAGCTTGATCTTCCTATCGTAGACTACGCAGACAGCAAGAAGATTGTGACCCCTTGAAATCGAAGGGAGGAAACATTCAAGCAGAGTTCGCCTCCTGTCCCAAAGTTGTTTCTATTTCGCGCTCAACATGAACGGATTCATGGAAGTCGGGGCGAGAGAAGGATCCGAGATGTTCGTCTTCCCATCGAAAGTTACTGAGAATGTCCCTCCAGCATGTACGAAAACTCCTCCAACAGGGCAGCCCTGGTTGAACTGTCCTGTAAATTCCTGCCCTTGTAACCACCTGCCGTGAGCATCAGCCTCCAAATATGGCCAGGGGCTTCCACCACACCTGAAGTTGCCCATCCCTTGTAGTTGTCCCAACTCGAACTCTCCCTCGTACATCCCAACTTGCGAGAAAAATTGCTTCCCCTTCCCGTGTTGCTTCCCCGACACCCATTCTCCCTCATACCTGGAGGAGGACGTCAGGACATGTAAGCCAGACAATCGAACAGACTACCAGAATCTCTGCTGATCCTGCACTATGTGATATCCGTTCAAGGTTTCCATGGGTTGTTGATGACAGATGCAGTTGATCGAGAACAAGTTCTGAACCATGGACAGCTGCTGTTGGCTCCCTACCAGTGAGGATCTTTGTGAATTGGCAGCACTCACAGAGGGCAACGTTTCGATTATTTTCATGTCCAAGGGCTTCAGAAGAGGATCGAATATGCTCCCTGCCAGCAATTCAACAATTGAAGCTTTTCCGGCTCTATAAAGCCTTTCTTACTGCTTCCGTCGAAAATCACTTCTGCCCTCGTTCCATTCGGTTTCTCGACGATGCCTGAGACTGGACATGACAGCTGGAACGAGCCCTCAAACTTCTCGCCATCAGGGTATTTATATGATCCTTTCCCATGGAACAGCCCAGCAGACCATTGCCCAACATAGGCGCCCATCTTGGCGTGAGCCCACCTGCAAATAAAGACAGTTACTGTGAATCCCGGTCAACAGCCCGCCTTCTCACCGCCCAAAGCCGTCCCATCGACCTTCATTCCATTCGCCATCGTACATGCAGTCAGTGGATTCAAGCTTGTGATGCCCTTGTAGCTGGTCGCAAGGTAGTCTTTGAGAAGTATCAGTACACCTTGCTAGTTGAGATTTGCTACAATCACCCGTGGCATGTGCATCGGTGTCCCGATGTAGAAACACTATATCCCGAGAGCACAAATACGTCGCTGTCTTCGCGTTTCACTTGCAAGCTTGAAGTTGAGGATTTGGATGCCATGATGTCGTTTCCTCCAATCGATGTGGTAGGGGAGGTCATTTGAGAAACACTTCCAGTCTTTTGCAGCGTGTCCGTGGAGGCTGGCGATTCGGGTTCCTTCGATGTTTGTCCATTCGTGTGATATTCTTGGATCAACAGCCTTGAAATGACGATTCTCGGACAATCTGTGATTCTGATGTTGCCATCGTACTGCACTTCATACTGCTTTCCGTCAGACTCTCGGAAGATGCCACTCTGAGGGCAGTCGAGCCGAAAGATGCCCTCGAACATGCTTCCGTTGGCGAAGTGATACCTAACACTCATCAAAATCTCAAGGGCTCATTCTTCAAAAGCATACATGCCAATGCCCGAGAACAAGCCTCCTCTCCACTCTCCCTCGTATGTGTCACCAGACGGATCATGGACAACATGCCAACCATTCAGCTCATGCCTGCGGGTCACATCGATTCTCAGCGATTCCGTTGGGACCCAATCAAAGAATACATACATTCCTTGGTCGTGACAAAAGCATCTGAAGTTCTGCCCTGAGACAATGTCCTAGAAAATGAAATGAATGCTTGTCTCATATTCCATGAGAAGGGAAAGGAGATAGTACCGGAAGCAGCGTTCTCGGACGGGGTTGCTTCTTGGTTGGCTTTTTCTGGATCTTTGTAATCCAACTGCTGAGGTTCGAGCCATTTTCGGGATCTGATCCGTTCATGGTAGACGAGCACAACCAAGAGACTTCACTGACAACTGACGGTAGTAATCGCGTTCATCGCAGGCTTCTTTAGACCACCCCATATTCGAACCAAATCTCGCTCCATTCTCACGCATCTCCCTTCTCACCTCCTGTTCCTCAGGAGCCTGCCATTCTCTCCTCTTCCTCCTCTTCCTCCTCGCCCTTGTCCTCCCCCACCCCTGAGGTCTCCTCGCATTTTAGCCGCTGCCTACTAAAGTTCGACGTCTATCCACCCACCAGGACCAACCTGTCAGCCTTGCCCAGTACCCTACCCTCCGGTATTAGAACTACAATTTTGTAGTTGACCCTACCCCTCATTATTACGTGAGTTCAAGCTGTAAGCACTGGTACCAGTGAGTCCCATCGATACCACCCTCACCCACTCCTTTCCATGTTCGCAAGTACCCCTACCCCTCCGTATTCGTTTCTCGTTGTGAAGGACCATGAGGCGGCACCCTCTTACACCACCCCTACTCTCTTCGCATCACCCACCCAAAGACCTGTCTTCACCCTACCACTTTGGCGACATATCTCATTTTCTGATCACCCCTACCCCCTCTGTGAGGACCCCGGGACCATTCCTTCGATGAAATTTTTTTCAGAGGCTCCGGGCGGTTATCGCGATCGTTTTAGTCGTTACAAGCGTTACAAGCTCTGTAGCTAGCTGTCAGTCTTGGATCTGCTCGGCATTTCCAAAATGTTTGCCCGCCTTCGTGACCCTCTGACACTTGTATCCCACCACCCCACCCCTCTCTGTACTACCCCACCCTCTCATACCTGTCAGGTCAAGCTCTCAACTCCCACACCATCACTACTGATCAAAAAACTAATAGGAAACAATTGGTATCTCGGCCTTTCCCAGAACACCAACCCCAAGTATGTACCCTACCCACCTTTGACAATCCATCCTACCACCCTCCCTATTAAAATGTTCCAGACGGTTTCTCTGTCAAACTTACCCTTTCCACTGAGCTATCATATACCGGTGGTCCAAACATGATGACCCCTATTCACAAACACATTACCCTTCCTTATGAGTACATTCTTGATAGCATTGGACCCCCCACCCATCTACACAACCCCCTTTAACAATTACCCCCACCCCCTTTTGCAATTCTACCCCATCACCCCTGTTTCCCCTAGATCATTCCTCCACCCCCTCGCGCACGGCGGCGTAGTATATTGGCAGGGGCCGCATTCCAACTGTGATTGGCAAAGTGAGAGGGTACTCAGTTGGCCCCGCTTCCCTATTCCCAAGGGGTCGTGGTAGATCAGTGGTATGTTTAGCAGAGAAAAAGGGGGGTTCTTATTGAAAGGTGCAACTCTGAACCGGGTGGGGTCAGGAAACTCCTTGATTTGGTAGGTACACCCGCACGCCAACTTTGGCTGTGCGAGAAGTATCGCTGTAACGCCCAGAGTCGCTTCATGCTGTTTCGCTCTTGTTAGTCAGGTGACTTACCCAACCATGCTCTATCACTGCATGCTCCCCCCTTCTTCTGCGCACTAGTTTCTCTCTCCTTCCTTTCCTGCCGCCTCTTCCCCTTGTCCCATGCGACTGTCCTTGGTTTTTGTGGGGATTTACAAGAGTAATGCGACTTGTGTAGTCAGAGTTTCTTACAAATCGAGCTTGCACGCGCATTTCGACAGAACTCTGCCGCATTTCCATGCTCGTTGCTTTTTTTTAAAACACCATCACAATTCCTCAAAACACCATCACCATTCCTCTGCACTTGACGCTTGTTGTGCGTTCTTTCGAACGCAACAAAACTTTACGCTTTAAATTGATCCATTCCGAAGTTTGTCCATTAATGCTGATGCTTGTTCTTGACAGTAAGAAGCTGCTAGAAAGCAGAATTCGACGGATATTCTGCAGCGATGGCAGACTTCAACATCAACTCGGAGCAACTGTCCAAGTTCATGCGCATATGCTTCGAGAATCCTTTAAACTCACAGGTTGAAGAAAAAGTCTTGCCAGCTCTTGAAGAGCTTGGCGGGCATGAAGGAATTGTGAAAAAGTTGAGAACGGACTCAGTTAACGGCATTAGCAGCAGCGAAGTAGACACGAGAAAGTCATTCTTTGGATCGAACTACGTTGAACCTGATCCACCAGATTCCATCTTTCAGATAGCTTGGGAGGCGCTTCAGGACCCGTGCTTGATTTTCCTTTGTTTTGCGGCTTGCGTCTCTTTCTTTGTCGGCATCGTCTTCAACGAAGGAATGGAGTGGCTTGAGGGCCTGGCGATCTTGAGCGCTGTGTTTGTAGTCGTCACGGTATCGGCTGTGAATGACTATAAGAAGGAGCAGCAGTTTCGAGCTCTGAATGCTGTGAAGGACGATGTGAAGGTAACCGTGATCAGAAGGGGAGAGAAGGAGAAAATCTCAACTCATGACATTGTTGTGGGCGATGTAGTGTTGCTCAGCACGGGTGACCTGGTCTGTGCGGATGGTCTTGTGTTTGACAAGAACGACTTGGGGATCTCAGAAGCCATGCTCACGGGAGAGACTGTAATCAAGCGCAAAGGCCCTTTTGAGCTAGGTTCGAGTGCATCGTCGGCAGCAAAGGTGATCCCTGCATTATTTGCTGGGACATTCGTTCAGGAAGGCGAAGGAAGAATGTTGGTAACTGCAGTCGGCACGCACACATATCAAGGGCTTATGGAGGAGAAGATGAGGGAAGAGGAGGAAGAAAAGAGCGTTCTTCAGCAAAAGCTGGATAAAATGACAGAGCTCATAACGAAAGCAGGTGCCATTGCAGGAGGCATGACAGTTGCGATTTTGCTCCTGAGATTCGTGATTGCATTTGCAAACAAGGATTGCTGCAAGGAAACATTCGATCATTCAATACATCATCTTGAGTGGTTGCGTTTCCTTGTAGTTGGTGTCACAGTGTTTGTTGTGGCTGTTCCTGAAGGTCTCCCGCTTGCTGTGACCATCACGCTAGCTTTTTCAGTGAGCAAGATGATGGAAGATAACAATCTTGTTCGTCACTTGAGCGCATGCGAGACCATGGGAAGTGCAACAACTATATGCTCAGACAAGACAGGGACTCTCACGACCGGGAAAATGACAGTGGTGAAACTTTGGTCTTGTGGAGAGGCTGACGAAACCATTGCTGCTTCGATTCAAAGGATTCCAGCCGCAGTGCAGAAACTTCTGGCTGAAGCCATCGTTGTCAATACGTCCTTCAAGTCTGATGTCGAGTGGGATCCGGTCAGTGGAAATGTGATGAAGTACACGGGCAATGATACGGAGTGTGCCATGCTGTGTTTGTCGAACAAGATACTTGTGGCCCAAGGTTTCAAGTCGGGCAACCCATACAAAGATGTTCGACAAACATATCCTTTGGATGATCCAAATCGCCATGCTATTTCCTTTTCATCTGACCGCAAGAGAATGAGTACCTTGATCATCCCGCAAGGATCAACTTCGTTCCGCCTTTACACCAAGGGGGCTTCTGAAATTGTGTTGGGCCTTTGTAAATGGGTGATTGACCAGAATGGGTCTGTTGTTGAGCTTACAGAAGCCATGAAGTCCCAACTCACAGAGGAGATCGGAAAGTTTTCAGATGAGGGACTGCGAACGCTTTCAGTAATATTTTGTAGTGTCTACGATTTCATGTTTATCCTTATTTTCGCTTTCAGGTGGCGTATCGTGACTTCGATCAATCACCCAACATGGATGAAGAGGAAAAAGTTGAGAACGACCTTGTCTTGATTGGTCTACTCGGATTAGAGGATCCTGTCAGGCCAGAGGTGATGTCCAGAGCCATAAGTGAGTCGTTCCTGAACGTTTTTAGGTACCTGAGGCTATCCGAGTCTGCAAACGAGCTGGGATCGTTGTCAGGATGGTTACAGGCGATAACCCTCGAACTGCAGCTGCGATCGCAAAGAAGTGTGGAATCCTGTCTGATGACGATGATTCTGCTACGATCATGACTGGCTCGGACTTTCGAGAGAAGGTATTGGACGAGCACGATGAGATCGACATGGATGAATTCGACAAGATCTGGGTGGACCTGCGAGTATTGGCGAGGTCGTCGCCTCTCGACAAGCTGACGCTGGTCACTGGCATTCAACAGAGTAAGGCCTCCACGCCACAAGTCGTTGCAGTGACAGGAGATGGAACCAATGATGCTCCTGCGCTGAAGAAAGCAGATGTGGGCTTTGCAATGGGCATTACTGGAACTCAAGTAGCGCAAAATGCTGCAGATATCATTGTCTTGGATGATAACTTTGCATCGATCGTGCAAGCGGTGAAATGGGGTAGATGTGTGTATGACAATATCTGCAAATTCTTGCAATTCCAGCTCACAGTCAACCTCACGGCTTGTGCGATAGCTGTGGCCGGAGCTTCCATCCTGACAAAGAGTCCGCTCAACGTGATTCAGTTGCTCTGGGTCAACATGATTATGGATTCGTTTGCCTCGCTCGCTCTTGCAACTGAGGATCCTCGCCCGGACCTGTTGAACCGCAAGCCGTATCCTCGCACGCAGCCGCTGCTGTCTCCGTACATGCTCCGGTCCCTCCTCTGCCACGCGATTTGGCAGCTCATCATCCTGTGCATCTTTATCTTTGGGGTTGGCGACGTTTGTCCGGATTCGCATAATCTAAACTATTGTGGAAATTCAACCATCTATCATGATAACATTGGGGCCGTCAAATCCGGTCGCCCGGCAGCGTTCGACAGTCAATATCTGCCCAGTGCGGAAAATTGTATACCGGTTAATGAAAGGCCGCCTGGCTATTGCAAGCAAGAAGTTGAGGTAATTTCCCAAGTGTTTGTTACTCTTGTATTGATGGGAATATGCAATGCAGGAAGATTCAAAGCCAAACCAACACAACGCTATGATCTTCACTGTCTTTGTTCTGATGCAATTGTTCAACCAGGTGAAATCCTCGCCTTTGCACTTCATGATATTCTGACGTTGAGCCTTTCTTTTCAGATTAATGCCAGAAAAATACATGGGGAATGGAATGCTTTCACTGGAATCTTTGACAACAAGTTCTTTCTTTCCGTCATGGGTCTAGAATTTGCCATGCAGTTCCTCATGGTCGAGGTGATACTCAACTATCTGTGTCCTTGGAATCTTGTTTCCATGTCTTCTTCTACTATCCTCTGCTGTCCTTTCGTGTCCCTCTCTCTCCTGTCGAACTTGTTCTCAACCCTTGCGCTTTTCCCAACCACTCCTGCTCTAACGGATTCCATCAGATCCCTGGTGTGAACACTGCCGTCGGCTGTACCGGAATGACGTTCGGGCAGTGGGTCCTCTGCATTTTTATCGGGGCGACTGAGCTTCCGATGCATCTGTTGATCGCGCGAGTGCCGTTGAAGTGGCTTCCGAAGAGGCTGACGGCAAGCTATGACTCCGGTGCGGGAGATGGGATTCCTTTGCTAGCTATGAAGTGAGGGCGTTCAAGGGCCTGAGCCCCCGAGTGGTCGGATCGACACAGACAACTTTTAATAACAAACTTGAAAACTCTAATCAATGGTTGCTGTAACATGTATTCCTAATTTCCGATGAAAGCAAAAAAGTGCGACTATTGTATCGGACACATATGTATCCTTTGTTCCTCTGTCTGTACGGGGATATCCTCACTCTGACGCCCCTCTACCGCATCTCCTCTACACAATCACCTGCATCTTTCAACCGCGTTCGTTTCCTCTTCTTGTTGATGTTCACGATGTAGGTTGTGCCCCTCCATCACCTCACCCATAAGCTCCCTCCTCCCTCTCCTCCTTCTCTCCCTCCTATCCTGTCCTCCCTTCTCTCCCTCCTACCCTCTCCCCCTATCCCCGTCCCTCGTCCCCCCAAACTTGCTGCTCCGATCTCTTTCTCCGCAGGTTTTGGTGTACTCCCGTCGATCTGTTTACCCCCGATGACTTTTTTTTCATGATCGTCTACACTACCCCTTCATTTTACCTGCTCGAGTACCCTCCTCGTTCCCTCGACCCTCGGCGAATCATTTCAATGCACCACCTCCTCTCTAGAGCAGCGCAGGGGGGGAGCAGGAGTGACGTGACCTCAGCAGAAGGGAGGAGACGGAGGGAGGAGAGAGGATGAGAAGAGGAGGGGAGGGGAGGGGACTCCGAGGCAGAGGCAGAGGCAGGGGTAGAGGAAGAGGTAGAGGCAGAGGGGGAGACAATGAGTGACAGAGGACGGGAAAGAGCGAGGAGCAAGCGGGGTCCACGTTTTGTGCTTACTCCCCATGCTAGCAAGTAACCAGCGGTCTACAGGAGCTGCACGATGGCTGCAGCAACTGCCTCCCCCGCTGGCAAGGACATGCTGCAACAAGCTTTTGCCACACCTCTCGCGCAGAGGATGAAGGTGCGGGACAAACTCGGAAACATGTCGGTATGTTCAATCAGCATGCAGGTTACTGGGAGGAGGACAGAGCAGACCAACGGTGGAGTGATATCGTCACGGATGGAAAACTTTCTACAGGATGGGGCAGAAGTCTTTGTGGGCCTTGAAGGTAATTATGCTTCCCTGCCCCACCGCTACTGAGACCTCCTTGGCCTTAGGTGAAGCAACTTCGGTCGCCGTTCCCTTCTACGCCTCCCCGTAGTCTTCGTTCCGAGAGTCGCGTGCCTCTCTTACCTTCTGCTCGTTCGCAGGATGTTGAGAACCCCAGCGCCAGATTCCGGCCGGGTCATGCAGCAAGTCGCCTCGGCCTACAAGACTTTCAGCTCCATGGTGCAGCACAAGTTCGCTCGATCCCTTGCTCTCTGTACACACGTCTGACCTGGCGCAGGCAAAGTGCTCGTACGCCATGGTCCGCGAGGGAGGGAGGAGGGAAGCCGGTGGGGGTGGGTCTCCACGTCGAGCAAGTGCAGATGCAGGCGTTGTTGCCCGAGGGAGAGAAACTTGTGTACTCGGTGATCGCGGTCAAGGACGTCGTCGAAGGCTCCTTCACCTCCATGCTCAAAGTCGTCCAGCCAGGCGACTTTCTCGTGGCGGTGGACGGTCAATCGACGAAGAACCGGTGACTATCTCCGGGGAGACGTCAAGCTCGTCATGACGCTCCTCCTGCAGCAACCTCGACCAAGTGCACTCGCTGCTGATAGGAGGAGGTGCGATCTGATGCCTTGCGCTCCTGCCGGCTGCTGACGTGGCTCGGTAGAGGACACGACGTGTGTCGGCTGTTTCTACAGGAAACCATCGGGCATGTACTTTGAGGTCAAGTCCTCTTGCCCCGCTCTCTGTCGCTCAGCCGCTCGCAGGTTCCGATGCTGCGGCACTCGACGTCGGAGCACAGGTGGGATGGTAGCGGCTGAGTGCTTCCTGTCACCATCGTCCCTCCCTTTCCAGCCCCCGACCCTTCCTCCTCCTCTTCAGACCCTCCTTCCCATCGTACGAGGAGGAGGGGGGCCTCCATGCTGACTGCATGCTGCAGTTTTGAGTACAACCATCATCGCAACCCGCTCCTGTCGGAGCTGACGGCCAACGGCCAGCGCATGGCAGAGATGAGCGCGGTCAAGTTCAAGGAGGAGACGAGCCTCTACGAGATCTATGAGAACATCCAATCCAGCGAGCAGACCTCTTCTCCTCCTCGTGCCGCTGCCGCTGCTGCCGCCGCTGCTGCTTCACCCTTCTCTACACCCCTAGCTCATCGAACAGCGTCTCCTATGTCGTCCGCCAAGGGAACGGGGGACGCTGAAGAGTTGCAGTCCCCCCTGGTCCTCTCCTCCCCGATGAAGATCGCGAGCGAGCGAGTCGATCTCTTCCTCTCTCACTCTCCGTCTGCCGACTTTGGAGTAGGAGGAGGGAGAGGCCCTACAGCGGCCTCCCTCGCTGGCGACGAGGAGATTGAGGTTTGTTTTTACTTCCTGCACTTCCTGAAACAAACTTTCCCCATATCCTTCCTCCTTCTGCTCTCCTCTCTCCTCTCTCCTCTCTCCTCTCTCCTCTCTCCTCTCTCCTCTCTCCTCTCTCCTCTCTCCTCTCTCCTCTCTCCTCTCTCCTCTCTCCTCTTCTCCCGTCATTTCATCTTTCAGGTTTCAAAGACTCTCCTGGCGCAGTTGCGAGTAATCAAATCAGATTCCGATAACTGAACAAGTCTTTGACCACTTGACAGTATGCGATGACTGTGATAGAGGCTGCAAACAGAAGAGAACAGGTGAAGAAAGCAAAAACGAGAGGGAGAAAAATATCGAGATGATGACAATGGTAGTCGTGGCGGTCGTGATAGTATTGGTGATGATAAAATGAGGGCCAGATGTTTTGTGATGAGAAGGAAAGGCGTTGAGGAAACATAACATGATGGTTGTGAGATTGAGTTTGGTGGAAGTGAAGAGAGCAGGAGAAACAAACAAGAGAAGTAGTGAAGGGAGAGGTTGGCGATGAAAACATGGGAGTGAAAAGTTGAAGGTGTTGTCTGACTTTCATCCAGGAGTTATCTGACGAAATTTCGGACCTGAGAAACAAACTGGTGACCATGACGACGATGACGATGACGATGACGATGACGATGATGATGATGATGATGATGATGATGATGATGATGATGATGATGATGATGATGATGATGATGATGATGATGATGATGATGATGATGATGATGTATTAGTGTTTTTCTGTCTCTGTACGCTTCTTGTGTCTCTACTTGTACTCTTCTCAACCTGGCTCCAGTCGATGACGTCGGAGGATCACACTCGATACAAGAGGAGGCAGGAGGAGGAGAGAGACGGGGAGATGCAGGCCATGAGGCTCAAGATCCATTCACTCGTCGAGTCTTACAGGAGGTGACGCACATAAAGAACACACCTCCTGCTCCTGCTCCTGCCTTCTGCTCCTGCTCCTGCTCCTGCTCCTGCCCCGTTCCTCCTTCTCCTGCTCCTGCTCTTGCTCCTGCTCATGCCTTCTGCTCCTGCTCTTTCTCCTGCTCCTGCTCATGCCTTCTGCTCCTGCTCCTGCCTTCTGCTGCAGATCCTCCTTGCGCTGCTGCCTTCTGCTCCTGCTCCTGCTCCTGCTCCTGCTTCCTACCTCTTGTTTGCTCCTACATTTCCCTGGTCCTCGCTGCTGACTTGGAAGCTGCAGGCAGCAGGAGACGATTCAGAGCTACCAGAACGAAAACAGAAAAGCGCACATGAAGATTCAGGTGGGGGCAAAGAAAATGGACAGAGGGCAACACACATCACTTTCACCTTGCATATCACAGACGATCTTATCGTTCACTTCAACACATGACAACCACCTTCAAGTCTTGATTTCACCTTCAAGGCCTGATAGAACAGCACCATCCATTCTCATTGCAGCAATGATTGCTCTCCCTGCTGCTCCTTCTGCATATCCTGCTCCTGCTCTTCTCCCCGCTGCTCCCGCCTGATCGCCCCGTTCACTTGTGGCTCTTTGCAGCAACTCGAGGAGCAGACGATCCAACACAATCGAGACTTTTATGAGCAGAGGTCCAGAGGTGATGAGAAGAAGAGGTGGAGGGGAGGAGGAGGCAGCAGCTGAGGAGGAGAGAGGGCGAGAGGGAGAAGACGAGGAGATGGAAATGGAGATGGAGGAAAGGAGACGGTAGGGGAGGACATGACCTGATGCCTCTTGTTGTTTCAGATTCAAACATGGAAGAAAAGTTGAAGATGGTGCAGCAGGTCATCTCATTTGTCCTGCTCCTGCTCCTGCTCCTCCTCCTTTCTCTCCTCCTCCTTTCTCTCCTCCGCCCTTCTTTGAATCCTCATTTCCTTTTGCTTCTCTCACAACATTTCCTTTGCAGGATCTCGCTGACCTGCAGAAGGTGATTTCATCCTCCTTTCCCTTCCTGTTCTATGGATCCTCCCTCTTCCTCCCTCTTCCTTTTCCCTGCTCACTACTATATGCCTCCGACTCTTGCCTTTCTCCCTTGCACCTCGTGCACCTCCTGCTCCTGCTCTTGCTCTTGCTCCTGCTACTGCTCCTCTCTTGGCTCCTGCTCCTGCTCCTGTCTTCTGCTCTTGCTCTTGCTCTTGCTCTTGCTCTTGCTACTGCTACTGCTACTGCTACTGCTCCTTCACCTGCTACTGCTACTGCTCCTGCTCCTGCTCCTGCTCCTGCTCCTGCTCCTGCTCCTGCTCCTGCTCCTTCACCTGCTCCTGCTCCTGCTCCTGCTCCTGCTCCTGCTCCTTCACCTGCTCCTGCTCCTGCTCCTGCTACTGCTACTGCTCACTCTACTCCTGTTCCCCACCTCCCCATTTTCTCCTCTTGCTAACTTCACCTCGTCCCGCAGGCCTACGAGCAGCAGAGTGAGCAAGTGAGTTCGCTCACCGACACCACAGCCTACCAGACGGTCGAGATCTTCCGCTTGAACGAGGTCATGAGAGTGAGAGGAGGAGCAGGGGGAGCAGGGGGAGCGGGAGTGGGAGCAGGAGAGAGAGGGGATCAGAGGAGTTGAGAAAGTTGAGGACGAGGAGGGGAGCAGGTGGAAGGGATTGGGGAGGTTTACAGCTCCATGACACTTTGCGGCAGCTGCTGGACAAGCTGAGCAGGGAGAAGGACCAGGTGGTGGGGAAGTTGAAGGTGCTGCAGCAAGAGAAGGACAGAGGATTCTTTGTTCCTTTATTCTGATCTCCTCCTCTCCTCCTCTCCTCCCTCCTCCCTCCTCCCTCCTCCTCTCCTCACCCGTCCCATCCTTCTCCGAGCCCCCTCCCCGCCCCCTCCTCCGTATGTCTTCGACGGAAATAAAGAAGTTTCTCCTTCATCCAGCATTTGACTCCTCCTCCTCCTCTTCCTGCTTCTGCTCCTGCTCCTCCCGTCTACCCCACGACTCTGATACATCCTGCCCCATCATCTACCTCTGCCTTCTCATCGCTTTTTAGGCTTCAGTTCCTCGTCAGTCTGTAGGAATATCATCATTCAGTCTCCTCCTTGCTCCCTCCCACCCCCTTTCCCTCCCTCCCTCCCTCCCTCTCGTCCTCTCCTCGTCCTCGCTCCCTCCCATCCCCTCGCTCCCTCGCTCCCTCGCTCCCATCCCCTTGCTTCATCGCTCTCCCCCTACTCCTTGCCTCATACTCTCCCTCCATCCAACTCCTCCATCCCTCTCCTCCCCCCCTCCCCTTTCGTTTATCCTCACCGGCTTGTGATCGCTTTCGAACACGTGCAGCACGTTGAGAAACTGAATCAAATATCAGACACCTGCTGGTGCTGGTGCTGGTGCTGGTGCTGGTGCTGGTGCTGGTGCTGGTGCTGGTGCTGGTGCTGGTGCTGGTGCTGGTGCTGGTGCTGGTGCTGGTGCTGGTGCTGGTGCTGGTGCTGGTGCTGCTGGTGCTGGTGCTGGTGCTGGTGCTGGTGCTGGTGCTGGTGCTGGTGCTGGTGCTGGTGCTGGTGCTGGTGCTGGTGCTGGTGCTGGTGCTGGTGCTGGTGCTGGTGCTGGTGCTGGTGCTGGTGCTGGTGCTGGTGCTGGTGCTGGTGCTGGTGCTGGTGCTGGTGCTGGTGCTGGTGCTGGTGCTGGTGCTGGTGCTGGTGCTGGTGCTGGTGCTGGTGCTGTGCCTCTAACAATTCCTCCTGCTCCTCTGCCTTTCTTCCTCGCCCTCTTCTAACCTCCCACTCACCTGCTCAAAGGTTAAGAATCCGCCAGTGGAACCTGAGCAAAGAGGAAGAAAAGCAAATTTCAGCGCTCAGCATTGATAGGAAACCAGGTGAAATCCTCCTCCTCCTCTCCCCCTCCTTCTCTCTCCTCCTCCTTCCCTACCTGCTTCTTTGAAAAGCTTCTCCGACATATCTGCTGCTAGTGCGCTGCGACCGAAGCGATTGAACAGCACCTGAGAAGGCGATGTCAGAGCAAATCTCCTGCCCTCCTCCTGTCTCCTCTTTCCATCAACTCCGCTCCGTCTCCTCTCCTCTCCTTCTCTCTTTCTCTTCTCTTCTCTTCTCCTTCTCTCTTTCTCTTCTCTTCTCTTCTCCTCTCCTTCTCTCTTTCTCTTCTCTTCTCCTTCTCCCCTTCCTTTCACTTGGTTCCTCCTCCTGTACCTCAGCACACTCGTCCTCGCTCATCGTTCCTCCACCGTCTTTGTCGCAGATCATGAACCTTGCGAAGGAATTACAGAAGAAGAGAACGGACAAATGGAGAGGGAGAGGAGGAACGGAGAGGGAGAGGAGAATCAGGAGGGTAAGTAGGAGAATCAGGAGGGTAAGTAGCAGAATCAGGAGGGTAAGTAGCAGAAGCAGGAGGGATTACACGATGAGGTTGTAGAGAACGGACAAATGGAGAGGGAGAGGAGGAAGGGAGAGGGAGAGGAGAATCAGGAGGTAAGTAGGAGAATCAGGAGGGTAAGTAGGAGGAGTAGGAGGGATTACACGATAAGGTTGTAGAGACGTCTTGGTTCCCTCCCTGTCTTGTCTCGCTTGCATCTGAGGTAACCTTGCACAAACGTGTTCCACTCGATGTATCCCTGCAATGCTGATCAGGCGCGTAGGGAGAGGACGTGGGGAAGGAGAGAGGAAAGAGAGTAGGGAGAGAACGAGGGCAATAATGAGGGGAAGGGAGCTGGAACAACAAGACAGAGAAGTATAGAATGCAAACGAGGGAGGAGGAGGAGACAGAGGAAAGACATGCCAAAGTGAAGGAGGAGGAAGAGGAGGAGAACGTGGGGAGAGGAAGCTGAGAGGAGGTGGATGACGGGGCGGCAGGGAGAGGAGGGAGGAAGAAATCATCACATTGCTCTCCTCGTCGTTTTCCCAGATGATGTCTTCTGCTCGGGCACAGCTCAAAACTCCCATCCGCAGTAATTCGCTGCTCGTCCCACCAGCCTCCGTCACCCCATACTCCGTCTTCGTCTTGAACTTGTACCCGCACGACCTGCAGTATCCCATCACCTCCTAGAGCCTGTCCTCTTGTACACTCCTTCCTCCTCACTTCCTGTGCCACCTCTGCCTCTGCCTCTGCCTCCTCTCCTCCCCTCCCTCCCCTCCTTCTTCGACAGCCTTCATCAAGTTTTTCCTTCACAAGCAAGGGAAAGTTCTGTTTCCCACCAATCCTCCCATATCTACCTGAAGGTGACAGCGAGGTCCTCGGCATTGAAGTATCCTTTCGACCTCCTGTCCAACCTATCCCCCTCGCATCACCGCAGGCAGTCGGAACCTCCTCGAGTACCTTTCAAACACTCTCCTCAGGTTCTCATACTCCACACGCTTCTCCATCCCCAGCGCCTTCCAGTCCTGTGGTCCAGTTCAGATTATCCTCCCTCTTTACTGCCTCCTCCTCCTCCTCCTCCTCCTCCTCCTCCTCCTCCTCCTCCTCACCGTCTCGCTCGTACGCATTTTTGGCCTCAAGCTCTGTTGACGTCCGTTGATTGTTTGCGCGGGGATGCGGGCACCCCGATCGCCCGATGGAGACCGACCAGTCAAGTAGGATCGGGTGCGGCGATGGCGGAGGACGAGGGAGGGAGATGGTGGATGGGTAGCGAGACAGCAGGAGAGAGATACTGCGCGGTTTAGGAGAAGAGAGGAGAGAGGAGGAGAGGGGAGAGGGGAGAGGTAGAGAGGAGGAGAGGGGAGAGAGAAGAGAGGGAGGAGGAAAGAGGAAGGAGGAAGGAGGAGAAAGTGTGGGGCATGGAGTAGGAGAGGGGTCAGTGGTGAGAGAAGGGGAATAAAAGGGAGAGGACCAGACCAGATAAGTAGGTATGAAGGCTCGGGAGGAGAATGGAGGGGCAAGACAGCTTTGATGGCTCATAGTGAAGGAGAAGGTGGAAGGGGTCAATGCGAACGTTTCACGGGTGCTTGAAGGGGCTCTTGCTCCCGGTTTTTTCATGCCTGCTCCTCTTGGTATCTTTCAGCACTGCAGGAACAAACGGTGAAGGCCATGGCCTGCCGGCCGATCGCAACAGCTGCATGGAGGGTCAATGCAAGGTAGCAGGCGATGTCGGCGGCGTCGAGGGACCATGGCCGCTGTCGTGCTCGCTCGAGGCTAACTTGGGGTTCCCTTCACCTGAGTCGATGGAGCGGAGGCCGTTCGTGGTGGCGACCTTGATCAAGTGGTTCGATGCTCAGGGGTTCGACGAGGAGGAGGTCGCGTCATGCTCGGTCCCATGCCTGTTCTTGAAGCTGCCTGAGTACTCCAACGAAAAATGCGTGGAGGAGGTGAGGGAGGGAGCGAGGGAGGGAGCGAGGTAGGAGATGAGTGCTTGCTCTCCACAGGCGGACATGCTGCTGGCGACGACGAACTTCCAACCTCCCCCGTCCTTCGCCAAGTTCGTCTTGCCGCTCTTCTCCCCCACTGCATGCTCATCCTTCACCACAGGCCCCCGTGAGTTTCTCTTCTGCCAGCGCGCAAGGGCTGACCGGGCTGCTGCCCAGCTGGCAAATCTGGGGATACTTCTCTCTAGAGTCAGCGGTGAACTACCCGGAGGTAGGATGAGGCAGTGGGGGGAGGGAGCAGTGGGTGAGGAGCAGAGCAGATGGAGAGGGAGGAGTACATGAAGCAGTTCGAGGTGGAGCTCTCGACCAGGATGTTCTCCGATGTCCCGATGACGTTCGCGCCGAGGTGAAGAAACTGGAGATGGCGGGAGGGGAGAGGAGGCGACGGGGAGAGGAGATGTTCAAAGACGAGGGAGGAGAAGAGACGTGCGGGGCTCAACTCATGTGCTGTTGGGAGGGGGGGGAGGTGCGAGGGCTGGGGGCTCAGAGCTTCGTTGTTTGCAGAGACAGCGACGTCATCCGCCGTCCGACCGCAGAGAAGAAGTTTGGGTTTGCCCTGTGAGGAGCAGGAGAGGTCGAGCAGGAGGCTGAGAGTTGGTTCAGGTACCTGCAGAGCAACTGTGTGAGCTGGAGGGACGACATTGTCAGGGAGCTGATGGAGCATGTGAGAGCATGTGCAGGAGGAGGAGGAGGAGAATGAAGGAGAGGAAGAGCTGGTGGTGGAGGAGGAGAGAGACGAGGGAGACGAGGAGGAAGCTGAACTTGCCGACTTGTCAGGTCCCAGTCGACAGCCTGGGCAGGTGCCTGAACAATGGCGACATCCCGTGAGGCTGCGAGGCAACAGCGGGGAGCAGCTGAGAGTGCCATGGCAGGGAGAGGATGACGACGGTGGAGCTTATCTCCCGTTACAAGTTCTTCATCGCCTTCGAGAACTCCATCCACCATGACTTCGTGAGGACCTTGCTCGTGCCCCTTGCTCTGCCATTCCCCACTCCCTCTCGATCTCTTCCTCGTCCGCACCAACCTTCACGTCCTCACTCTTCGCCTGCTCTTCTCGTCCTGCTTCTCTCCTCGTCCTTCTGCCTCCTCGTCCTTCTGGTCCTGCTCCTTCCATTCTCCTCCACGTCGATCTCCTCCTCATCTGGCCACAGGTCACTGAGAGGATCTTCAACGCGTGGATAGCAGGAGCGATCCCCATCTACAAGGGAGCTCCAAACGTTGACGACTTCGCTCCTTCCCCTCGCTCCTTCCTCCTTCTCGACGATTTCGATTCAGTTCCTGCTCTTGCTGCCTACCTCCGGTAAAGGATCCTCCTCCTCCTCCTCCTCCTCCTCCTCCTCCTCCTCGTCGTCGTCGTCGTCGTCTTGCTCCCCCTCTTCCTCCTCATCCTCCTTCTCCGGCACTGGCCTGTCTCTGCCATGACGACGTCTCAGATATCTTGATGAAAACCAGACAGCGTTTAATCAATTTCTTCGCTTCAAGGACCCTGTGAGTGCTGGGCCTCCTCCCGTCTCTACTGAACCTGCTCCGTGCTCCGTCCGTTGTCTTTCTTACGCTTCTTGTCTCGGCTGAGCTTATTTGACTGATTTATTCTGTCTTCTTTCCTCCTCTTCCCTTCCCTTCCCTTCCCTTCCCTTCCCTTCCCTTCCCTTCCCTTCCCTTCCCTTCCCTTCCCTTCCCTTCTCGGCCTCTCTTCTTCTCGCCCTCAGGCTGTTGAACTTTCCCCTGGTTACTTGCATGCGTCGAACTGTTCTTTCTATGCACCAGGAGGCGAAAAGGTCCTCCCTTCCCTTCCTCTCTTCCCTTCCTCTCTCCCCTTCCTCCCTTCCCTTCCTCCCTCCCCTTCCTCCCTCCCCTTCCTCCCTTCCCATCGCTTCCCTTGATCCTTCGCCATGTCGCACAGACGAATTTTTGCATTTCCCTCCCTCCCTCCCTCCCTCCCCTCATCTTCCTCCTCCTCTTTTTCCAATCTCCCGAGTTCTTCGCTTGCCTCCTCCTTGCTCCCTCACTTGGTCACCCAGGGATCGCAAGTTCCCTTCCCTCAGCTCGAAGTCGTCGACCCGTCAGCTCATCCTCCTCGCTCTTCCCCCTTCTGTCAGGCGAGCGGCGGACGTAGAGAGGGGAGGGGCCACTTACTCTACGGTCCTCTCAGCATGCAGGAGGTCTGGACGGGACCGGCGTGAGCATCTTGGATCCTCGTTCGAGGTGAGAGACTGAGAGAGAGGAGGAGAGAGCAGCGAGGAGGAGAGAGGGGGAGGAGAGAGGAGGATAGAAATAAGAGAGGAGGAGTAGGACAGATTGCTGTGGAGGGTGTGCAAGTGATCGATGGAAGGTCGGACAGGAATTAGAACGAGCAGTGATGAGAGGTATGGGGGAGGCAAGTCAGAGGAAGAGGAGGAGAGAGGTGGAGGAGAGAGCAGTATCAGGAGGAGGAGAAGGAGAAGGAGAAGAAGGAGGAGGATGGAGGAGAAGAGAGGAGGAGGAGGAAGAGGAGGAAGAGGATGGGGCTGAAAAACAAGAGCAGGTGCTTCAAGGCCCACTCGCTGAGGGCCAAGGATCACCATCGGTACAACTCGGTGGGGGCATGTCGCATCTGCGAGGAGGGGTACAGACACCAGCAGAGGGTCCTGAAGGAGCAGGAGCTCCTGAGATCTTCCGCCCCCGTCATGCTCCGCCTTGAGTTGCACCGAAGTAACATCCTCCTCCCGCTCCTGCTGCTGCAAGCTCGACTCCCTCCCCCCTCTGCCCGCTTCATCTTGTTGGGAAATACCTTGATTCACTCTATCCTGTCCTGTCCTGTCCTGTCCTGTCCTGTCCTGTCCTGTCCCCTTTCTAGTCCTCTTCCCGTTGCTGACTGCTCACAGGGGAAAATCTCGAGCTCGTCGTTCAGGCACTCATCTCCTCTTCCTCTGCAGAAACAGTAGCAATGACTCCTGCTCCTCCTCCCTCCTCGTCCCCTTCCCGCCTCCCTCCCTCCCTTCGCCTTGACGACTCGTTTTTCCCTCTTGCTCCTCGTCCTCTCTCCCTTCACCCTCCTCCTCCTCCTTGCAGGCGCCCAGCTTTTCCACCCCCGCCGACGGCTCAGCCTTCATCATCGTCCACAGCAGGATGCCCGAGCCCTTCCTCCGCCCCATCGACATTCCCATGAACAGCAACTTGGTCATCAGCCTCAGCGGCTTCGCTCCCGGCAGGTGGCTCCCTCCCTGACCAGCTGCCTCCCAGCTGACACCTCCCTCAGTTACCGCATAGCAGTCAGGCTCGTCTCCCACAGCAAGCGGCTGCTCGCTGAGGCTGAGGAGGAGGTGACCATACAGTGAGCGGGAGGAGACTCTGAGGAAGAGGGGAGAGGGAGGGGGAAAGAGGGAGGAGATGGAGAGGAGGAGAGGGAGGGGAGGAGGCAGTAGTCTATGTAACAGCAGCGTCTCCTCTTTTGACCTACTCCTTCCTCACGTCAAGACCCTCGACCTGCACCTTCACAGCTCTCCTGTGCGTGTAGAGTACAGACAGCAAGCTCCCTCATCCTCCTGCAAGTCCTGCTCTCCATTTTCCTTCCTCCTGCCCCTGCCCCTGCTCGCCTGCAGCACACGCAAGGTGTTCACAGTAGGGAGAGAAATTCTCGTCCCATCCTCCATTATCAATAGATCGGAGGAGTGAAAGACCCAACTGCCTTGTAATGATGGCGCAGATGCTTTCGTGTGTTATATATTTGACTGTTTAACCCACAACAAGGAGTTACATACATCACCCTGTGGACAGTAAAAAATCTGCTATACCTCCACCACCAACAGATGGATCATAACAACATTTTGTACTGGAGGGATAACATTTTGTCTTGACAGACAACAGTAGGTGCTTCCAAAGTTCTATTGGACATAACAGCCAGTTTCAACTTAGCCCAAATCTTTGGCCGCCTCGCCTTCCCCCCTCTTCGCCTTGCCTAGCTTCTCTCATTTTCTTGCGCCTCCACTATCACAAAGTCTCCAGCTCATCGTTCATGCACACACTATCCACACTTTCCCATTCCAATACAACACACACCTGCTGACGGCTCAGCCTCAATCGTCGTCCACAGACGTATGCAAACAGCAATCCCTCGGCTATTCCTGTTGAGGCGCGGAGTTGACTGCTTTTCATCGTCCAGCGACTACGGGAAGATGTGCTTCGAAGAAGAGTAGGTGGTGACGGTTGAGGAGGAGGAGAGTAAACCAGTGGCTCCTGTTCTGCCGGGATCAAGAGCTATATCCTCTGCCTCACAACTTTGGGCGGTCTGACAGTGCTTCTTCTGTGGGGCAGATGCTGATGCTATAGCAACGATCTGGTCCAAGGCCTCAGAGACGGAGCTCTTGAGGAGGGTTCGTTCCTGCTTGAGCTTGTGGCAGACGAGCTCCTGACTTGCTGATTTCACCCTCTCGGAGCTCGAAACTTCGCTTGCTGCAGCTGGAAGCGACGGGTTACAGAACGTCGCTGAAACAGCGGCAGCAAGGGATCATACCTTCACTTTCCTCTCGGTCCTGACACCGAGTTAGATGCGACGAACCTGCATGGCTGCTGGGTACTGCCCCACATCCCTCTACTGTGCTTGATGACGCTGCTGACTCCAATCCAGCTGTTCTTGTGGAGCAAGCAGTGTCGGTGTTGGGGTCGACCGGGAAAGGGATGAAGACAGATTTCCCGTTCCTCTTCCGGAACGTTCCATACAGCCCCTGACGGTTGCATGCCTTGCCGGAAGAGGAGTAGATGGTTGAAGATGAAGATGCATAAGAGGACAACCCATTCTGCTCCTCCACTTCCCAACCTTCCCTTGCCCCTGGATATCTGCTTGAAGGGCCTGAAACAATCTGAGCGACGATGGCGTCGGCTTTGGATCGAACTCTTGCTCTTCCTGAGACGTTGATGAAGCACAATTAAGTCAGTTCTCCCTTCCTCCTCAATGCATCGAATCACCTGCTTCAACTTCCAAGTCCCACGACTGCACCTTCGGGTTTTTGTTACATGGCGCCGTTGTAGTCGGATCCCTCATTCTCTTGGTCGGTGTGAATCGATGTGAGTCGGCGGGGACGGTCGAGTTAGTGATATCTCGGAAAGCATTTCTAGATTGCGGCTGCATTCTGTGCAAAACATATGTTGGTCAGTCCAAGAAGATCAAAACACAGCGAAACTGCAAAACTCTCTCAATCCTGCGGTTCTTTGATCGGACTTGTCTCGTACTCGAGTTCCCTAGCATTCATCGCCTTCTACTCCTCTGCTCCTGTTTTGACCGCCTGTGTTTGTACTGATTTATTTCACTCATTCCAAATCTGGTAGCGAGTTTTACAAATCATTTTAGTCACTGATTGAGTAACGCGCCCTCCCGGCTGGCAGGGCCGCGGGCCCCGCCGGCTGTGAGGGTCCATATGGACAGGGTGGGGTCATCAAGTAGGACTTCGAAGGGGTGGTAATCTCAAATCTCGTCCAAAACACCAGGGTGTTAATTGGTAGTAGTCACAACGTACCCCTCCCTTGAAGTCATCTGAGCTGTTTGAAGTACCGGTAGGTTTGTGAATGGAGAATAAAAGGGGGTAGGGTGGGACAGGTTGGGGAAGGCTCCTCGCTGCGACCATGGCGCCCAGGTTCACAGTGACGCTGAATGGCGGGAAGGTGAGAAGAGGAGGAAGCGGCGGAGAGATACATGATCGAGGTTTCTGTGATCGAGATAGATAAAGCGCAACAAGGAAAGTGTGAAACGAGGAAGGCGAACAGATGCATTGATGGAGCAAACAGTCTCTTGTCAGGGGTGGTCTTGTTGAACTGTATACTTGTTGTGAAGCGGTAAGGCATTGGGTGTATTGACGTGCGTGCAATGAGGAGATTATTTTGCAGATTTTTCGATGTGCGAATGTATTATAGAATCATTGCAGGGAGGGCAGTGAAACTGCCCAGAGCACCACTAAACAAATTAGCATTCAGTGTTTCACGGTTTCATGAATCAATGTTGCTTTTTACGCGCATCGATGATAGTTTCGGTTTTATTGATTTCTTTTATTCAAAACTACGCTGACGTTTTATATCGTGATGCTTTTGCAAACGTGTTGACATTGTTTTGCAGAAACAAGAAGGCTTCTTATCTGCATCCATGCGAAAAGCACTTGGAGTTAACGCGGGAGGAGCGGGAAAGAACGCGAGCGGGAAGCAGCTTGCCAACAATGATCTGAGGTTGAAGCTGTCGGGGAACAAGAACAAGCCCAAAGCCCTGGTTTCTAAATCTGCTCAAAGAGCGATGCAAGTGGACCAAAAAACTGCTCAGTCTGATGAGGAGGGCAAATGGGTCAACGATATGTACTACAAGTCTGGTCAGTCAGACATTGTCACCAATGCAACTGTCAATGCTGATAGACCAGCATCGTACCTTGTTCATGCAACCAATAGCAGGAATAAGAAAGTGCTGTCCAAGCAGATTGGCAGTGCTACGGGGAGATTGCTTCACAAAGCAGGTGTTTTCCAATCCAAGGATGGGGGAGCAGATGATGATGAAATGAAAGTCGAGCAATCAAGCTCGAAACCTTCTGCAGTGAAGAAGAAGGGACGAGGAGCTTTCACATACCCAACCTAGGGCAGCTGTTCTTATGAGTCAACTGATGAATGTTGTATAGTTAATTCGAGTCGCTGAAAATCAGACAGAAAGGAACACGAGATTGGTAACTCCCTAAGTTTCTGATCAAATATGCATTGAAATAGTGAAGCTTCATACTTAATCTGGTCAATTCTAAGCCCATGTCATTGTCCCACAACCAGAGGATTTGTTGAGGACCAGAGGATTTGTTGAGGACCAGAGGATTTGTTGAGGACATTGTACTATCATTCTTGAGAGACATTGCATCTGAGAACAGGTCTCCTCGGGGTTGGCCCAATCACTCTCGTTTAGCCTTTGGGCTCCTCTTCAAGAAATATCCGAGGAGCATTCCACAGAAGAATGAAAACCCAAGCCCGGTGAAAAAAGCTGCCTTGTGGTACTCCCAAATGCTGCATGCAAACATCAGTAGCCCCCAAGGCGATCTCGTCAACCACCTCTCCATATCGCGGTGGATGGTGACCATGTAGAGGTGGCTGGCCTTGTCAAACAAACTCATCTCGTCCCATCTGCGCATAGAGCATCAATGGCCCGTCATCGCTGCGGGTAACAGCACCCACCCCTTGGGAACAGGCGCCCCTGTCTCTTTCTTGAAGCCTCCCTTGGCAAAGGCGTACAAGCTGTCAAGGTCGCGGGGCCTAGCTTGAAAATCAGTGAAACCGCTGGCAGAAATTCTGGAGAGGATGAAGAGCCGATGAAGACGAGAGCAACGACAAAGCTTGAGATTGTAGATGAGGAAGTGAACCGATCTTACCCCATGTAGTCGTACATCTTTCCCTTGCTAAACATCTTGAGAGTTGGAAATCCTCTGATCTGGAACCTCTCTGTACGAACTTCAAAACTTCTCCACAGCTGCCACAGTGACATCGACCTTGGAGCTTGGGGCTCACGGTTCCATCGACCTTGGCGATGATGGGAGTAACGTCTCCTGCCTCCTTCTCCTCGTTGAGCTTCTGTGCCAAGCTCTCCCACGTGGGGGTCAACGACTTGCAATGTCCGCACTGCGTCGGACACGTCACCGCATCCATGGGGCGAAGTGGCGACCAAGAAGGCTCACCCAAGGAGCATAGAACTCGACGAACCAGTCGCCTGTGGTCGCCCCGGTGACCGACTGTGTGTCGTGCTCGAAGGTGCTGTCGGTCAGAACCTGAGGAAGGGAGAAGGAGTACGAGTGTTAGCCCAACGGCCGTAAATTCGTCTCATGGACGGAAGGGAGCGCACGCAAGCATGTTTGTTCACCTTCACAAACGATTTCTCTCCTCCCTCTGCGTTCACCATCACCGCCACGGCCAGCAGCGGCACCAGCCATCGCGCCCCCGCCATTGCAATTGGATGACGTTAACTTCCGCACGGGTCGTGTCATCCCCCTCATTCTCAAACAAAAAAAGAGCTTTACAGTTGTTGAGTAAAGTTTCAGAAACGAGAAATGCAGGATCCCAGCCCTGGGAAGCGACGAGGCGGGGGAAGGTGATGCGATGAGGGCGATGGTGGCGGTGGTGAAGATGAAGATGACATCAACAACGATGGACATGATGACGAGGATTGAGATGATGAGGACCATGTCGATGCGAAAGTAGCACGAGCGGTTCGGGTCAACTGAGATTCTTCACTCTCCTGGGGTGGAGAGAGAGACCGCAGTTTGGAGGTCATGATGATTTTCATGTGGGAAGTTGTAAGGTGGTTTTGATCGATGTGATTAGGAATGAGGATGGTGAGAAAGGAGGAAACTTGCAAAGGGAAAGAGATTGACCACTAGCAGTGATTGTAGCAGGATCAAGCAGGGAAAGGGTTCAGATGAGGAGGGCCTGGAAATTCGGTCATGATGTTTCTCGAACAGAGCGCGAGGGCTGATCTTGAAATGGGCGCTTCTGAAGGCGTTCGGGCCAGATCGGTGAGCATGGCGTGTAGCATGTTCGTCTTACAACTGAAACTTCTGGTAGCTGGCACTTCGCAGCGTTAATGAACGAGGAGAGGACGACGGCTATCAAGGAAGCGATCACCAGGCATGTGGGGGAGACGAGGTCCTCGCTCCCTGACTCCTTCATCTTAGGGCGATCCAGAGGGCAGGGGCTGATGGGTCGATCGCCGTCGCTGATCTTGGAGCTGTACGTCCGGGAACTTGGGCCCCCTCGGTTCATGTGAGGCTTGTGCGCAGGGTCACGGGCTGTACGGGATGATGGCGGAGCGAGGAGGAGCAGGGTGAGGATCGGGGCCTGCGGTGATCAACTGACGGTGACTTGGCAAGGTCGGTCACGAGATACGAATGCCTCGTTCCTCTGGCTAAGATGCAAGCGAACATGGCGAAGAGTGCTGGGATGAAGATGAGGATACGGACACAGGTGCTTCCTCCTCCTCCTCCTCTACCACTACCACCACCACCACCACCACCACCACCACCACCACCACCACCACCACCACCACCACCACCACCACCGCTACCGCTACCACTACCACCACCACCGCTACCACTACCACCACCACCACCACCATCATCATC